TAAATCTGTAAGAGCTGATGAGATCAGAGATCATTATGGAGGTAGAAGAAGGCTAATGGCAGTTCCTTGCGGGGGACACCCACGGTTTGTAGGCCTCAGGTAGATGAACAGACAGTTGAAGCATCATCAGCTGGGGAATCATCAGATAGAACTAAGAGATTAGTGATTTGAGAACGTAAGAGTATCCGGGAGTAAAAAGATATTAGTGTTCTTTAATATCTGTGGCTATGAGTATACTAAACATGGCAAAACTACCCATTTAGAAAATTCAGGTTCTGAAGTTTTCCTTTTTTTCTTAAATTTTATTTTAAAAAAAATTAGTTTTATTTCATATCATCTTTTTTTCTGAATATAGGATGCCCTTGCTCAGCAAGTCATCCCTTGTAATAGGGTTTTGTTTAAAAGGGGAGGGGAGGGGGAAGCAGTGAAGCATGACTAGCCAACACATCAGCCATACCTGACGATATGTGCAGTATTTCAAACCCATTGTTCCTTACCTCTAGAAAGAGGGAGGTAAGTGCATTTTTCCCAATTCCTTTTTGGGGCCAAGCTTAGTCATTAAAATGACACAGTATTCAGTTTCTTTTTTGTTCCTGTGTTAAGGGTTATAAAGTCTGTGGTTCAGTGTACTGAAGCCTACTAAGGCAGTTAACCTCTCTGTGCCTCTCAGGCAACTTTTTAAAGCTGTACTTAAGTTAAAGATGAATTGATAATCTGAATCTGTGAAAGAAGTTTTCTAAATCTGGAATTCCCCATGCTGATAACATCACAGATGCATACCTAAGGAAAAAAAGGAGCAGGTCTAAAAACTTCTTGTGTGCTTTTCTTTAATACTGTAGAAGCTTTTAAAACTAGTAGAATTGTGCTTTAAGAATTGATGATGAAAACCAGTTAATACCCTGTTTACCAAATTTTCTCATTTTGTTTGATGTGGGATATCTGTTTTGAATCGTCTTGTGATGTGGGATGAAGCAAGTGAAAATGATATTTTACTTTATGATATTTGAAGTATTTCACTTGTAGACATTTTAAAGGTATAATTTCAAACAGAATTGCCTGTAAGTTGTAACTTTATCAGGTAATGGTAATCTACATAGTTTTCTCAAAGGGCTGGGGTGAAGCCATTCTTACAAATGTGTTATATATTTATTTTATAGTTGAAGTCAGTTGTGTAGTGTGTATGCTTTAATAGAGTCTAAAACTGGTTTAGATATGTGATTGTTGTAAAAAAATCCACATTTTTATATTAAAAGAATGAGCTTCCTGGGTTTTGTTGTGTTTTAGAAAGTAGTCATAGAAACCTGGCACATTTAAATAAAAACAGACCTTCCAAGGAGGCTAGTTTTGGCCTCTTAAATATAAAATTTGACAGATAACAAACAACAAAGAGTGAAACCGTTCAGTGTTTACTTGGAAATTTTATAGTCAGAGTAGGGGTTGGGATTTCAGTTAAAATTTGTTTTGTAGTATGTAGTTAAACCACATTATTTGTTTTAGTAATAGACTTCTTCATGTTACAAATTCTGTTGAAAAGTAAAGATTTAGTCAAACTACTATTTTTTGTGTTTCTGCTTGAGTATGACTAGATGAAATAAGGATATATGTGTATCAAGTGATCTGTGCACTTTAAAGTGCTATATAAATGTCAATTTGCTGTTATTTTATTATATATAGAATAATTGTTTTGACTGATTTCTTTTCCCCAATGCAAGTTGCTCATTTTATAGACAAAATAAGTAGATAATGATTATAAAATAATTCATATTTGTTTGCAATATTTCTATTATTAGTGATTTTATAATCTTTTAATTAATTTTAGTAAAAACTAAAGTAGGCGGAAAAGGTTCAAATATAAAAACCGTAAATGCATGCGTGATACATTGTATTATAGAGTTCCCTATGTATTTGAAACCTCAATAGTGTGGTCATAGGCCCTTTTCAGATGTCAGTAAAGGCTACCATTTGTTACAGAAGTGTTTTTACAGAGCTTGATAAAGCTACATTTTTTAACAAGGCCTTGAGAAAATTTAGAGACTTCTAGATGTTTAATAGCTTACAATGTATCTTCTTAAAGAATTGGGAATTTGGGTCAGCTAGGTGGTACAGTGGATAGAGCACTGGCCCTGGACTCAGGAGGACCTGAGTTCAAATCTGGCCTCAGACCCCCCCAAAAAAACCTCAAACACCACTCACTAGCTGTGTGACCCTGGGCATGTCATTTAGCCCCATTTTCTAGCTCCCCCCCCCAAAAGTTGGGAGTTCAATGTAGCTATATAGAATTACAGCTAAGAATTTTATCTAGAAAGATGACTTCGTTATGACTATATTGAAGTACCACTGAAACTGACCTGGCCTATTTGGAATAGTGGGTTGTGTGACATCATATGCCTGTAACTACTTAAATATTTTTCTGTCTTGCCAGCCTTTTCGAGTTTGTACTTGATAGGTAGAGAACTGTGGTGGTATATGTGTGAATGGATCTCACCTCAGTGCTGTGGAGATAGTGGGAGTTAGGAAGGGATTGGAGGTAGGGGGGAGGAGTCTCCTCTTGTGGAAACTTACAACAATGTTCTTAAGTGTTGTTGCTATGACTCAGTGGTATGCTGCAAATGAGTTTGGATGATTTTGGTTATATCTTTAAAAAATATTTTGTTGATGCTTTTAAAAAGTATCACTATATTTTCCCAGTGACTCCCCCTGTCCCTGCCATGCCCAGTAGTACCTATCCTTATAATAAAGAAAGAGAATTAAGCCAAAATGCCACATCATACTACTTCCCTAATTCTTTTTGTTGTTGTTCTAGACTCATGCTTAAATTTTAAGTCAGTTTTCTCAAAACACATCGGGTCATTACATTGGATCAGAGTTTTGGAATCTTTCAGGATCGTTTTCCTTTATATTATGGTGATCATCATGTAAATTATTTTGCTGGTTCTGCATACAAGGCTTCTCATGATTTTTAGAATTCTTCATTTTCTTCATGGCAATAATAACCTATGACAGGTATCTCTATCACGATTTGTTTAGCTGTTCTGTTGATGGCAATATACTTTTCTTCTAATTCTTTATTATAGAAATTGTTGGCATAAATTTAATACTTTATCATCAAGATTACTTTTACTTCTCTTCTTTTTATTCTCTTCCTAACTCCTTGACTCTTTTATTCTTGTCTCCCAGTTCTTTGGAACATATATTTCAGTAGTAGGGCCTATGACAAGTATAGGCTCGCATCACCTCTTCCTTATATTATGGCAATAGCCTTTTAATTGGGTTGTCTTTCTCAGGTCTTTCCCTGCTTCAGTTCATCGTCCATTCGGCTACCAAAATAATTTTCCTTGTCACTCTTTGCCTCCTTCTCTGTTTTCTCCTGGTAAGCTCCCGTCATTCCTCTTACCTTTAGGATCAAATATAAAATCTTCTCCTTGTCTTGAAGGGCTTCAAAGCCCTTCACAATTTGTGTCTTCCTACCTTTTCAGTCTTCTTACACTTTACTCTCCACCTTACAGTCCACCTAGTGTCACTTCACTCCTTACTCTTCTTCACATATCATACTTCACCCCCCATCTCTGTGTATTTGCACTGACTCCCCAATATCCATAATGTTCTCCCTCATACCTTCCCCCTTTTGGCTTTCTTGATTTCCTTCCAAACTGAGCTTAAATCCCACCTTCTTCAGGAAGCCTTCAGTATGAGATACCGTCTCTTTGTTGTGTGCATGCCTGTCCTCTAGCTACACAATTCTTTTCATATTATCTTCCTCATGTGAGCTCCTTGAGAGCAGAGATTTCTTTGTATCCTCAGCACTAAGCACAGTGCCTGGCACATAGTCAGCACTTATTAAATGTTTGTTGACTTGAGTGATGCTCTTTTCTGTTCCTTAGATGCTGTCTCTACTTCCAGTTTTTTCTGTCAAGAAAATTCAATTCTAATTAACTCCATAAGAAAAAAAAAACATTTTAATGGAGGTATAATATAAAAGATGAAAAGACTAGATAGCCCATTAAATAGGAAATTAACAAAGAAGTATTTTGATATGAGAATACAGAAAATAGAGAAAAAGGGAGGGCCTCTTCACCCGTAGGTGCTAGGTGGCGCTGGTGATAGAGTACCAGGCCCGGAGTCAGGAAGACTCATCTTCCAGAGTTCAGATTTGGCCTCAGACACTTACTAGCAGTGTGACCTTGGGCAAGTCACTTAACTCTGCTTGCCTCAGTTTCTTCATCTGTAAAATGATCTGGAGAAGCAAATGACAAACCACTCCAGTGTCTCTGCCAAGAAAATTCCAAATGGGGTCATGAAGAGTTGGACATGACTGAAACAACTGAGTAGCAACAACTCTACTGCTCCCAGTTTCTCCTTCAAGTGCCTGGGTCTTTGGTTATGTTATTTTGTTTTGATGGGTTGTCTGGGAATTTAGGGGGTTCTAACCTCTAATTAGAATATTTGAGTGTGGAAGCAGTATGTTATGGTAGATAGGGGCAGGCTTTGGAATCAGGAAGATCTGGGTTCAAGTCCTGCCTCCTGATACATGCTAACATTGTGAAAATGTTCAAGAAACCTCTCTTTATAACTGAATTACTGATCTTCATCACAGGAGGGTTTTCCATACTAGGATTTAACCCCAGATTGATGAAATCACAGGTCTAAAATGTGTGGAACAGTAGAAAGTTTGCTGAATTTTGAGTCCTAGGTATTAAATGTGAATCTCATCTGTGCCTCTGACTTGTTTAGTTGTTTTGCAAGTCATGTCCAATTCTTCGTGACCCCTTTTGGGGTTTTCTTGGCAGAGATACTGGTATGGTTTGGCCATAGTTGTCAGCTTAAAGCTTGTCCTGATTTTTAAAATTATTGATCTTAAGACTCTTTATCTGTGTTAAATTCAGTGAGAATACTTGTAAAAAATTATACCTGACTTGATTAAAATTTTTTTTTGATGATGTTTTATTGTCTTAAAAAAACAAAAAGAAAACTTTAATTTTTTCCCTCTTTTTTTCATTTAGCATATTGCAGGAGAAACCAGGACATTATTTTCTAGAAGTAATGCCCACAGAAAGTGGAAGTTGTGCAACTGCTCGCCAGGCAAAGCAGAAACGCAAATCACATAGTCTTTCTATAAGAAGAACTAACAGTTCAGAACAAGAAAGGACAGGACTTCCAAGAGAAATGTTGGAAGGACAAGTAAGTTTGCATTGACCACTAATTTCCTATCTCAGTTATGATCATGTTTATTTATAATTTTATAAAGACATAATGCAAGATATAGCTAGATGTCCTAAGTCATATCTAGATATGATTCATGTGTTCTGGGACAGCTAAGAATTCTCTTAATCATTCGTGTGTGTATGTATACATATGTGTGTATGTAGATATACATATCTATATATACATATAAATATCTATACATACATATAATACTTGTTTGGATTTTTAAAATGTAAGGCTGTTTAAAAAAACCTTGGGATTTTATTAGTGTATGGAATTTTTTGTGAGGAACTCCTTTAACAATGCAGATCAGTAACTTCTCTGCAATGTATAGTTTTGGAGAGTTGAAAAGTTGAATGGCTTGTTCACAGTTGTATTTTGGTAAGTGTCAAAGGCAGGACTTTATCTCAGGTCATGGTTTGAGGCTAGCTCTCTTTTCAGCACAGTATGTTACCTTTGATAGCAGTTATTCGACTTAATTTTTATTCTCTGAGGAGCTGTGGTAAGATTCATTATTTAATTCACTTTATGTATTCAGTTCAACACATGTTAATTTAGTACCTACTTACAGGTTAAAAGGAGAGAGAGGACATGTAGTACTGAAATATCTATAATAAAACAGGTTAGGCATATAGAAACAATAAAGAATTCTATGAGTGACCTGAAGGGGGATTTTTCATTTCTAGCTTTTGAGAGGAAAGTTAGGCAAGTTTTCTTGAAAGAGGTGACGTTTGAGCTGGATTTTGAAAGATAAGATTTCAACAGGTTGAGATGCAAAGGGCCCTGAGAGGGAAGGTTTTTTTAGGCAGTTGTAGGGAATGGCTTTAGCCAAGCAACATAAACTAGAGTAGGCCACTTTGGTTGGAGCATATAGTATATGAAAAGTAGTGTAAGATAAGGCTACAAAGGCATTTTAAACTTAGAATATGAAATATCTTGAATATCAGGATAAATTTGAATTTTATTTGGTAGTTTACAAGAAGCCATTGATGGTTTCTGAGCATTTGAGGTATATGATAATTTAAATTTAAGGGAATTTAAACTACTGGTGATGGGAAGAATGAGTTAGAGACCACATTGAATTAACATAAGATCAAAAGGTGTAGTGTCCTTGTCCACAATATTTTGTATTACAAATTACCTACTAAATAATGATTGAGCATCAGTGATAGTATTTTTACTGGGTTCCACCCTTTATAATCTATTTGAAATTGAGTTGGAGACAAGATTGGAGTCAGGGAGCTGATTAGAAAACTCTTAGTATGGTCCAAACAGGTACTGAGGACCTAGACTAACAACTAACAACTCTTAACAACTCTAGATTTCAGCGTCTTCATCTATAAAATGTAGCCGTTGTGCTAGAGTTTTGAGATACAGTCAGGGTGTGATATCTAGTAGATAGTGGGAAAATGTGGGTCTGGAGCTCATGAGAGTGGAGTGGCACGTATGGATTTGGGAGTTACCCATGTTAAGATAATGTTGGAAGTTATGGAATTAGATGCAGCTGCTAAGAGGAAGAATCTAGAGAGGAGTGCACACTGACAAATACTGCCTTCTGAAAGGTGAAATTATCACATATTCTGCCATTAGCAGAGAGAGCCTCTTCACATATCAAGAGAGTTGAAATTCTCCATTTCTCTTTCCTCTCTGCTTCTGGAACTCATTATCTAATTCCTCCTTTTGGCCAGGTGGTCTGTAATACACTTCATGACAATAATCTATATCTTACAATATTGATCTCTACCCAAAAGTTCTCTCTAATACAATTTTTCCTTTTGGGTTTTTTATATACAAAATATGTTCTTGATATACTGTCCCCTAGGCAGCGAGATGGTATAGTTGATAGAGTGCTAGGCCCAGAGTCAGGAAGACCTGAGTTCAGATTTGGCCTCTGACATTTACTGGCAGTGTGTGTGACCTGGACGAGTCACTTAGCCTTTGTCTGCCTCTGTTTCCTCAATTGTAAAACGGGAATAATAACAGTACCTATGTCCCGGGATTGTTTTTAGGATGAAATGAAATAATATCTATAAAGTGCTTAGGACAATGCTTGTCACATAGTAGGCATTATATAAATGCTTATTCTCTTTTCATTTCCCTCCTTTTTATATAATTTGTTCCTTTTTGAATAAAGTATTCCAGTCATGAATCACATCTACCACTAATGTGTTATAATTACAAAGTCATGATGTGCATTTTGTCAATTGAAATCTGAGCCTGTGAGGATTATTAATCCCCTTCTTCCAAGAGGTTTTTTTTTTTCCTGTGAATTCTTAGGCAATCAAGGCAATACCTTACATATATTGGAGAACAGTTTTTATGGGCCAAAGACTACAGGCTATAATAATTGTACAGGTGGAGGGTACTGAGCACCTGAAGTAAGATAGTGACACTGGGAATAGAAAAGATAGAGTAAAAAAAAAAAAGAAAAAAGAAAAGATAGAGTAAATTCAAGACATTTTTAAGATTAAATAAATAGGGCTTAGATGATTGGAAATTGGAGGATGAGGAGAAGTCACAGATGATTAAGGTTTTGAGTTTGGGTAATGAGGAAAGTGGTGGATCTATTAACAGAAGTAAGATAGGAGTGGGTGTCTAGTTGAGAGTGGGATGGGTACTGGGGAGGGAGACTTCAGAATTACCAAATTTTAGAAGAACTGGATTACATTAGCTGTCTAGGCTAACCCATACGTAAAAAAGAATTCCATCTACAACATATCTTCCAGATGGGCCTCTAATCTTTGCTTGAAGACTCTCATAAACAAGAAGGATCTCATTCCTTTTGAGGCAGCCCATTCTGCTTTGATATAGCACTAATTGTTTGGAAGTTTTTACCTTACGTCAGGCCCAAGTTTCCCTCTGCAGGCTTTTACTCATTCACTCATTTCATTCATTACTCATAGTTTTTCCCTCCAGGTAAAACTGGATTAAGATGGTTTCCCTGCCTTTAGTTCTCTTATCAGTTGAATCCTAGGTTTGTGCCATTTGCACCTATTTCATTAGTCTTTGTTGTGTTTTTGATTCTGTGGTTTTTAAGAATATTACTCCAAAGAAATGTGCAAAAGTTGTAGCTCTTAGAGAGCATCCATACTTCATTGAATTGTAGAGATAATAGCAGAGACTGTTGGTATGAAGTCAGGGTTTTCAAACATCATTCAGTCCCATCAAAGCACAAAGGAAAGTGTGATTAACCAAAAGAAAAAAAACCTCCCAGAACTGACAGACTATTGCTGCATAATAGCCTAATTAATCCTGAGTATAAGCAGAGACCTTCATTGGCATCTGGTGGGATTATTATTGATTCTTCTACAGTGCTTACATAGGTTTCTTGGAGTTAGAGGAATAACCACAAACTCAGTTAAAAACAGCTGCTAACCATTTCTATGAAGAAAAAAACGCTTATTATAGGCAGTACAATACATGCAAAGATTGAACTACTGAATATTTGGAAAAGGTGACAGTTACCAAACTTAATTTCTTATTCAGGACAATACCAGAATTATTGTTGAAAGATTTCCAAGTGAGCCTATATGATCAATAAAACATCTGCCTCCAAAAATATTTTAGGATTTTTTTTTGTAACTTTCTGTGGGCGTGGAAGTCTTGTCCAAGGGACAAGGGAATCATGGACTTGGGTAAATATATTCATATACTGAGAAGCAGAATTATTCCAGAATAACAGAGATTCCCAAATGAAGATGGAATACCTTAACATAACCTTGTATAATTCCATGCATCACAGAAGGTGATCTATTCAAGAGTTAAAGCTAAACATGCTTCAGTGGTCTGGGAACTCAGCTGATTTAAACTCCAGTGAGAACTGTGTGCTGTAATGAAAGCTAGATTTAGAAAAATGGACTCCATCAAAGGTGTGCTTAACGTCTAGTGTAATAAAACTGGCTCATGATGAAGAATCAAAGAATATGTGTCAAAATCTTACGAACCCAATGCCAAGTCATGTCAAAAAGGACTGCAGCAAAAGGGCGTTAACATTTTTTAAAGACATGAAAAGTTGAAAGATTTAATGGGTAAATTGGTACATTTAATTATTTTATTTTATCCCTACTAATTCACATACCACTGAAGGTTGATCCTTGCCGTTACAAAAATTCTGAATTGTAACCATGGCTTATATATACATTATTAAGAGGAACATTTTGAACTACAGAGGCCAGACGTTGTGGAACACTTTACAGCAATTTAAAATTCTTTTGACTGTGCATCAACTTGTCATGTCTCGTATCCCATTGTTTCATTTATTTAGTCAGTAAACATTTATTAAACACCTTTTATGTGCCAGGTACTGTGGTAACCACTAGGGATACAAAGAAAGGCAAACAGCAATCCGTATTTTCAAGGAACTCACAGTCTAAGATATACGTGTTTTATCCCATCTGCTATGTTAGGGATCAGCAAACTATGTCCATTGGGCTTCTGTGCAACCTATGAGCGAAAGACAGTTTTTACATTTTAAAATGTAATAGAACTTTGCTTATATTTATTTACATTATTTTCATATTTTAAAATATAATACAACTTTCCATTCTTAGCTGTTGGTGAGCTAGCCATAGTTTGCTGACCCTTGTACTACTATATTATAGTCTCCTCAGGAGATATTCTCTTTGTAGCTAGCTAAAATATCTAGTATGTTGTCAGTGCTGGGGCTCAGTGGTAGAGTAAATTAAGCCAGGGCTTGTTGGGATCCAGGGATTAGATAGACTCACTGCACCATGGCCTGTTTTCCAGAAAGGTCTCAGTAAGGATTTTGGTATGGAAGTCTGAATAGGTGCAGGGAATGTGGTAGTAGATAATAAGTGAAAATCCAAGTGGATAGGTGGTGTCAGGGAAGCCTGGCACAGCTGGTGATTCAGATGGGGGTGGGGGGGGTATGATTTAAGAAGATGAGGCCAGGCAAGAGTACATTCTTGGGGAACTAGTTCCAAGAATAATGTTACCAAGTCTGGGATTAGGTACAA